TTTTTTTTTTTTTTTTTTTGCGTTTTGAAACTTAAATATTACAATTTAGGGAAAAATAAGCTTTGAGTTCAATATTCATTTGGTATTTAAAATCTCAATATTTTATATTTTTATTCCTAATTGTTTACTAATGCTCCATTTTGTCTCTACTTAATTAATTAAACTATAAAATTTGGAAATAATCTTAAAAATGAGGAAAAACTAAGAAATATTAACTTAATTATTTTGATTTAAAAGTTATCATAACTCTTAAATAATATGTTAGGGACCAGGTGGAAATATAGTTTGTGTTATAAACAATCATGATTTAAATAAAATTGTAACAAGACTTTTCTCTTCATATAGATGAAAATAATATTTTTTCTTTTATAATATATGATAATATACATATTTTAATTTAATAAAAATAAACAAGACTATATAATGAAAGAATATGTTTTACAATTTAATGGTGCGTTTTAAATTTTAGTCTAAATAAATAAAAATATTTTTTAATTTTGCACCATCTCAAAAATATTTTTAAACTTAATAAAAAGTTAAAAAAATGCTATTAAAACTTCAAATAAAAATTTAAAATATCCGTGTGCCTAATTTTAAATAGAAATGATTAATACTTTATTTTATAAATATAATTTGAATTTTCAAAAGTGAAATAGGTATTAATTATAAAAGATTTTAAGAAAACTTTGGTAAAAAGGTATATGATCAACGGCATAATTGAAATTTTACAAATAGCATAATTTAGCCTAAAATTTAAATTCAATGTAATTGTTAACTTTAAAAATTGTGGGAGTGGATAATAATATTTAATTTATTTCATTCTATTTATTGTTAAAAAAAAAGTGTAATTGGATAATAATAATTTTTTAATTGAGAAGACATTATATGGGATTGTGAACGAACCCTTTTGGGTCTGTGAACGTATTAATCCTCATTTGAAATCCGAACCCTTGAAACATTTGAAATCCGCTATTGTGGGCCCGAATCAAGCGCATATATATACTCGAAACTTCTCGCGCCCGCTTTACAAAAGGGCGCTAAACTTCGGACTTCAGAGGTTGCTTTTTCTGGCGATTTTTTCTTCAAAACCAGAAAATTCATCTCCATCTACTTCCGACTTCGGAGTTTGCTTTTTCTGGCGATTTTTTCTTCAAAACCAGAAAATTCATCTCCATCTACTTCCGACTTCGGAGTTTGCTTTTTCTGGCGATTTTTCTTCAAAACTAGAAAATTCATCTCCATCTTTTGGTATGATAGGCAGGCGCCAACATCCTCCTGTTTGATTGGTAAGAAAATTTCAAATTCCTTTGACATTACGAGTTTCCGTCTCTCTTCTTCTCTTCATATTGATTTCAGTCTTTGATTCTTGTTCTTTGAGGTGCGTGAAAAGCGCAGAAAATGAAGTCAGAGAAATAGATCGAGAAGTGGTACGATCGAAATGGATGATGTAGAATCCGAGACTATTGGATGCCAATTCGTTGATTATCTTGCGATTCAAATGCCTTACTGTGCAATCGAAATGGCTGACGAATAATCTCAAATTTCACCTTCCGATCTAGGCCGGTGATACTTCCTGGTGCGTAAATTTATTTTGTGTTTGAATCGTTTCGCTTGTGCGCTTTTCTGGCCGTCTATAATGCATTCGAACTTGAACTCAATAGTCGATCGTTTTGTTTGGTTTGATTCTTTGGTTGTTTCTGATCAGAAGACTGGTGTAGTCTCGAGATCAGATGAACTCCCGATGAGATCAAGTTGCCTGCAACATTCTGATGATGAACTATGTGAGTTCTAAATCTCTTACTAAACTAAATTAGTACCTGCTTTTGTTCACCGCCGTTCCCTCAATTTTAACAGTATGAGCAAAAAGTAATTTCTACTCCGTCTCTCGGTGAATTTTGCTTTGTTCTTGCTCATTTTGTTTATCCATATCTGAACTGAAATTTCTCTCTTCTGTGCGTTCATTGTTCTATGCATTTGTGAACTTTCTGGTAGAGCGAAAATTTCCTTCCTCCGTATCAAGCCGTTATTATTTGTTTGCACGATCTGTTCCTTCATATTACGTTCGTAGTTTTATCGAATGCATTTTCCTCTTCATATCATTTTCTACTCTCCTTTCCCTTGCCTATGAAAGAAGTTAATGTCAGATACTGGAATGATGCACTTTTTGTATTATTTTCCGATTTCGATCTACGATCATTATGATGTTTGACGAGGACTGAAACTTGAGAGCAATTCAAAGGAATGATACACTTCTTGTATTATTTTCCGAGTTCGATCTACGATCCTCATGATGTTTGATGAGGACTCAAACTTGAGAGCAATTCAAAGGACCTCACTCAAAGCCAAGGCTTATAGTTCATACATACAATTTCAAATTCTCGGATAAATTCACCGATAGTTTCCCGTTTTTCTCCGATAAACGTCTTTGTTCAATAACTTTCGAACTCTGCTATCATGATTCATGCCTGCATTTTCCATGAATAATTGCTCACGACTTAGGGACTTCGGGAAATTTTTGCTCGAACTCGTTTTTACTTTCATGTCATACATAAATACATCGCCGTGAAATTCAGCCTTTTTTTTCTAATCTTCTTCTCTGCTGCATGATTCATGAAAGGAATTATTCCGATGGGGCCATCCATGATTCATCAACCGGAACATCCGCCAAAAAAGAGAGAGATATAGGTAAGCGCCCTTCTTTAATATTACTTTTCGAATATAAATTAACGAAATTCCTGCCGCCAAGTACTGTACTTATTTTTCGCACCCTCCAAATTAGGATTCTCTTGCCAATAAAATTTGGGGACCGACAAAAAGAAAACAACTATAAATATTAGAAAAAGACATTTAATAACTACTATTAAATTATAAAAATAAAATGATGACAAATTTCTTAATTCTCTAATAGAATTTAAAGAAATACTTGCATACATAAGAGTGAGTACTGAGTAGAGCTCTTATCTTATGTGATATTTATATTATACGAGTGGATCTCGCTAAAATATCTCATATTTATTGGTTGAATTAGGCTGGTAGCTACTAATTATTAGGAACTTTATTCATTACTATTTATGAAAAAAAAGCTGTCTGCACACAGAAGTATGAAAGCTATTTTTATTTTTATTTTAAAACAAAACTATTTTTTCTTGTCCCTTTTCATTCGGTTCTCTTACTAGTTAAAAATTTACATGCAAGGTCTTGCATATATTAGTTATATGTTGAACTTTTTGGTTTGTAATTATTTGGTTATAGCCTCTAAAAGTTTAGTTTTATGTTGAATCAATTGCAAAATTTCGAAAAAGCATATAATATTGTCTTTAAACTTTCTATTTTATATTTAAGTCCTAAATTTTAAAAGTTATGGAACTAATAGATAAAAAAATTAAAGTTTAAATTGCCATTACATATATAAAATTTAGTTTTAAATCTAATAAAACATGTAATTTTTAATTTTTTTTTGAACTTATCAAACAACTTATTTATTAGACATTTTCAAAATCTAAAACCTACCAGATTATTTAAGAATTTTAAATGTAATAGAACATATAATTTTTTTCACTTCCTCTTACCTTTCCCACATTAATGCATACCATTTTTATATGTTTATTCATTTTCCATATTAATGCATACTATCTTTATATGTTTATTCATTTCCCATATTAATTCATACCATTTTATATGTTTATTCATTTCCCATATTAATGCCATACCATGTTTATAAATACATATATCTTTAAAATAGGAATTTCGAGAAACCAGTGCAATTTCATTTTTTTTAGTAGGGTAGGGTAGGGTTTGATAATTAACTTAAACATATGATTTTTTTAATAGAGAATGGAAACTTAATTTAATTGAATTATTGGATTATGTTCCACGGACTCATTAATTATAAATGAACCATATGTAGAACCGAATAGGACAAAAAAAAAAAAAACTTACACTTGCTTAATATGCTAGTTCAATCTTGTCCATATTTTAATTGTAGATGTTGAGGATGATTGGAAGAGTAGTCCCACGTGGACTAATTAAAGGGTTATCATAGGTTTATAATTAAGATTAAGAATACATTCAACTAATTAAGGAGTTATCTTATATTTATAACTAAAAAAAAGTTATAGTTGCAACTAATGTTCGATTGAGTCTGATGAATTTTCTTGTTTAGTGTCATTAGGAGTTCGGCATCAGGGGACAATAGAATTTTTGTGATAAAAGAACGAGAAGAGAGACCGTTAGCGGGAAAGAATGTAAGGAAGGCGTATGATTAACTGGACTCATGGAGTTGGCTCCCGTTGGTACATTTTGTACAATCGAATGGTCCGATCTCCTGATTGTTTTTACGTTTCACCTGCCAATTCACGGAAAATTAAAATTAGACAAAAGCTCAATAAAATAATATTCTACATCCACTTTACTCAAATAATGAAATAAATGAATACAGATGTACATCCAGGAATGTAATCCATTAAACTGGCCAATTTAGTTATTTTAAAATTAAAATTCTACTTTTAATTTCGTCATCACCCCTCATACCGAATCGGGCACTACACTAAGATATTTTAACAAAAATTTAATGTT